CACGTCGATGATCCCTTGTATTTCATGTTGAATCTGATTTATATTTTTTTATCGAGATAACTATTATTCTTTTTTAAAAATGTAAAACGAAAAGGCCAGAAAAGTATTACAAGTCTATCCCAGTTAGTTGATTGGTGGGACACCCATATGGGTACACTTATGTACCCATAGCACAACCCTTGTAATTATATTCTATTAGTTGATTTTAAGATGGATGTTTCAACCGTAGGTGAAACAAAATGATGTTGATGTTCATTGATATTTAACAAATGGACGTTCATACACAAAATTGATTTCCTATAAATTTACAATTTAATATTTTTTTATACTTTTTCTTATTAAAACTAAAATAAAAACAAATAAAATGAAGTGTGGAGGTAAGAATATAGAAACAAAATCTTTAATTCTCTAGTCTAGAATTTTCGTTTTCATTTGATTGCTTAAATAATTTTGAATCGGCATATTTAATAGAAGCTCCACATCTAACATAGCCCTAGGCAACGTCTATTCTAGAATTTTCTTTTTCATTTGATTGCTTAAATAATTTTGAATCGGCATATGTAATAGAACCTCCACATCTAAAGGGGCTCTAGACAACGTCTATTCGTTTCCTCTCACATCAGCTTGGCAAAGTCCCTATACGATTGCATTGCAGACGACCTTTTTTTTTTTTTTTTATGTAGCAATTTCTTTTAAAAGTACAATTTTATCTAATATTGTGTATCAAATACATATTTAATGGATTTAACAACTTAAAAAATATTCAAACTATCGTTCTTTTTTTCCCTACCTAGAAATATTTTGTGACATTTACATGACTTAAAATATGGGTGGCATTCTTGAAACTCTCATATGTAGCAGACGATACATAATCAGTCCATTTATTCCAAAGTGTCAATTTCGATGTGCTGAAAAATCCATAGTAATTATTGAGTTGGTTTGAATGGATTCTTGTAAATAGAATCTTATCAAATTCATGGTCCAATTTGATAGTCGATGTCTTTAAGAAATCAATGTTCCTAAAAAAGTAACAGATGCTTCCAGGAAAGAATGCCTTCGCCGCCTTTAATTGAATCTGAAGCAAAAAGGCAGTTTGCTTACAAATTTTAGGTGCAATCAAGAAAAAGCTTATCCATGTGTATGTATTATAAATTACTTAAATATTGCATAGTTGATTAGTGACATAGAATATGCACAAACACCAGCTCAAGATTTTGTTGGTCCCACCAAATTTTGCATGAAGTTGAAATTGTCAATTTAGCTTAAATAATTGTTTTTAAAGAAATATTACAATTAATTATGATCCCTTGATTGGTTGATATGAGATATGTATTATAATTTTTAAGTATAATTATATCTTCAACAAAAATTTAAAATACTATGATTGTCGTCTAACTAACGAATCCGCATTAAGGATATCTGTTTTAATAAGTATGGCACGACAATTCAACGCAAACTATTACAAATGAATATAATTTAGGGTTTAGAGTTTAACTACATATGAAATTGGACAAAATTTGACTTGCTAGAATTTTGAACCTAGTATCTTGTAACAATGAGGGCTCAAACATTGCTACTTGCTTATGGCATCATAATATTTATATCGTCTAGCTTTGAGGCTCTTAAATTATCTTTTGATGTCATATATTCAGTGTGTCAGTTATCAGTTCGACAATAAATTTAACAACATTGAAAACCAAGTTTTTCTACTTTAGTAGTTGTAGAGTCATGTAGTTTTTGAATGCCCTCTAGAGGAATAAAGTAGCCGATGATGATGAGGGTTCGATGGGAAATGCTTTTAGTTTTACTTTTGCTTTTTACCGAATAACTCTTCAAGGGAGTCATCTTGTGCTAACTTTAAAAAAAAAAAAAACTTTTAATTAGACAAAGTATTTTCAAGAAATCGTTCAAATAAGTTCAAAAACGACTTCCAAATTCAAAAAAAAAAGTAACTTCTGATTTTTCAGAAGTCTCGCTAAATACATGGCAATTGGAATTCGAATAGTTCCAAGACTAGAAGGTGGTAATTGATATGTGTGACATGGATAAGTTCCTTTTTTTTTTATGTCCTTATCCACATTGTTGGTCAACAAACTTTTTCACAAGAAAACTGGACTAAGATTACCAGTCTCTAGTGGAATTCATTACAATGTATATTACACAATATAAAGAATGACCAAATACCATGTATATCTTACCATCAAATCCATGCCGGGTTTTGGTCAATAGTCTAATGACTGTCCAAATATTCCAAGATTACTTTTTGATGGGACCCACTTTTTATTGTGCACGTGTCAACTGCTATTTGGTCATATAATAGCATTTTCATGCCATATTTATAGATACAAATTTAATTAGTATAAAATATATAGTTATTTGTGACCATTGTTAAACAAATTAGAATGAAGATTCTCTAGAAGACTCGACTGTCAATAAAGAAGTAGGTATCGTTGTGCTCACTTTTTTTACCAGACGTAATAATCTATTTTTCCACGTGTTTACGCCGTGTATTTATAGTTATTTGTGACCATTGTGAAACAAATTAGAATGAAGATTCTCTAGAAGACTCGACTGTCAATAAAGAAGTAGGTATCGCTATGCTCACTTTTTTTACCAGACATAATAATCTATTTTTCCACGTGTTTACGCCGTGTAAATACAATATATGGACATAGATTTTCTAATAAATCTTATCTTTTTACTGTTCCAAAAAAGGAAAAAGGTCTAGCATTGCACACACATATTGTCATCTTTTGGCCTCCAATACTGACCAAGATTGTATTTAATTGATGATATTTAAATTCTCTGTGGGCCTAATAACCACAAATTTCATAGGACTGACTGGGACTAGAAATTTTTGGAATTGAGGGCCTGAATCTGGACTTTCATTTTTATACGAAAAGGACCTTTAAGTTGTGAAGTGCTCCCAATTGTCTCGTGTATTTGACTAGAAATATGAAAATAATGTTGCACATGAATATCATTCTTTATTTTGTAATAGATGGATTTTTCTTTTTATATCTTAAAAGGGATAGTGAGAAAGACATTATTTATTAAGTTTTTGGGTTTTAATTTACAAAAAGTGCGGTTTTTAATTGATCGACTTGATACAAGAAGGAGAAACACTGTCGTTGTTGACGTCGAAATCTGTATAATAAATTTTGTTTTATACATGAACTTGAAATCAATCGAAAAGGCTAAGGTACATAATGTTATGTGAAATTTATTTGAACTAGAGTCCACGTTAAAGACAAAATATTACCAATATTGGAAGGATACGAATAAAATTTCAACGAAACACTCGCATAATGACTTAGGGATTCGACATGATTTTTGAATAGTCAAAATATATTTATGAAATCAAGAAATTGCTTTTGAATATATTTAAATAATTTTCTAGAATTTTTTTATCTAACTAAAAAGGCTTAAGTGAAGTTGTTCGAAGGTAGTTTTTTTTTGGAAATATTCTTCTATAAGAAGCAGGAGTCGTATCAAACTGACGGCGGGACAATAATAAGAGAAGGATTAAAACTGTTATGACTACTGAATAAGGTTGTAATGTTTCAAAGTTTTCTTGCAACTTATTAAAAAATGGTTCACCTCACTAACAACAATGCAAAATTTCCCTTCCAAAAAAAAAAAAAAAATACACATCAGCAAATGATAAATGACTTATGCTACATGTACAAAATTAGTTGACAAAATAATATCTATACCAATCATTTTAAAAATAAAATTTTAAATCATTTGAAATTAACGATCTGAATTTTGTCAACACACTTTGTAATCCAAATTTTGTAACAAATAGCTTTATTGATGTGAGGTAAGCTTGCAATCATTGTGATTCTCCCACTTACAAATTTATGAGTACAAAATTATGGCATATTTTTCTTGCACAACTAAACTCAAAAATTGGAAATTGTGGATAAAATCGTCAATGAATGTTTTCGAGAATAGTAAGAAAAGATAATGATTAATGAAATTTTATTGGTGATTGCCAAAGTTAAAACCATTGTTGATAAGACAAACTTTTTCCAATAATAATAAATTATAATATTAATATTTTTCTTAATTTCTCAATTCCATCATACACAAAAGTAAAATATCATCTAAATCAGCTTATTACTCATTCACGATACCGTACACTTACGAAAAATCAAATGAACGATCATTTATCAACTCCAATAAATTTTGTTGGCTTTAAGGTGAGTCTTCCTCTTCTAACATTTTTTCCAAATATTAAAGCCAAATATTTGGAAATTTAAACTATCATTTTTTTCCTTTTTCACAAAATACTACTTTGTAAGAATAAACTCACTCATTATCTCTGTGTAGAAAATGTTTACAATTATTTTTCTAAAAATCATTAAATAAATTAATAAAAACATAGAAAATACGGTCAAACATATGTCCACCTAAATACGGGACATAAACCAAATTTTCTTTGAAAAGTAAAAGTAAAATATTAGAAAATCGATTTTAATTTGATTCAAGATACCATGTATATGTATGTTTAGGCGACCTCCACCAAGGAAAAAGAAAAATTAAGTGTCAAATAACTACGAATTTTTTAATTAAAAAACGATTAGGATAAACCACATTGGAATAAGATAATAAAATTTGGTTTCTTAGGTCATTTTCAGTGCTGCACCAAATCTTGTACCAAACTTTTTGTCAACACACTTTGTAATCCAACTTTTCATAAATAATTTTATTGATGATAAATTCATTTGGAGGATGACTCCGCCACCTGCGTCATCACAATGGTTTGACTCACGTGAGAAAATTAATTTCACGTGGGTCCCAAATTAACACTATTAAATACCTACTTGTAAATCCCTCCGTGCCACAAGTTTTCACATTTCACTTTCATAATTTAATTAATTAACGTCAATTTATAATTAATTTTGTTGATAAAAAAAAAAAAAAAAACAAAATTCTACGACTATATAAAGAGCAAGTTCATTCAAAATTCCACTCAATCAAGCAAGCATCTGAGAATGGATTTTCCATTCCTTCAATCCCAAATTTCAGAATATTCCTTAGAATCACGGGATAATTTTCTCTTTGAACAAAATTCGCTTCCATTTAATCTCAACGATTCCGAAGAAATGCTCCTTTTTGGGGTGCTAGCAGAGGGCTGCGCCACCGTAAGGGAGTCGTCCGAATCCAATTCCGCCGTTGGAAGTTGTAAAGAGGAAGAGTTCACCTCGAATGTGAAGAAAGAAGTAGAAAAGGAAAAATCATACAGAGGTGTGAGGCGGCGGCCGTGGGGCAAATACGCTGCGGAGATAAGGGATTCGACTAGGAATGGAGTTCGAGTTTGGCTTGGGACTTTTGATTCCGCAGAGGCCGCCGCCTTGGCCTATGATCAAGCGGCGTTTTCGATGAGGGGTACGAGGGCGTTGCTCAATTTCCCGGTGGAGAGAGTTAAGGAATCACTTCAAGAAATGAAGTATAGATTTGAAGAAGGGTGTTCGCCGGTGATCGCATTGAAGGAAAGACATTCAATGAGGATTAGAAAGAAGAAAATTAAAGAATCAAAGGCAGAAAATGTAGTAATTTTAGAGGATTTGGGAGTTGAATATTTGGACACCCTTTTGAGTTCGTCATCTTCAGAGTGTGCTGGAACTTGGTGAATCATCTGCAAATTCTAAATTTCTTCTTTCATTGCTTGATGATTTCAATTTTTTAAGCAAACACATTTGATTGTAAATAAATAAATGAATCATAGTTTTCAGATAACATCTTTGATGAAAAGTAATTTTGTCCTGCGTCGAAAACAGAATTGCACGATTACTAATTTAAAGTTTCAAACGATGGTTGGCCAATTTTTACTTTTACTTCTGCTTTTTGCAGAAGGGCTTCTCCTTTATATTAATTTCCTCTAAAAGCTATCCTAGTTAGAAAACGCACTTCTAAACAATTCTCAAAATATTAAGAAGTAAATCTGAAAAATAATTTTCCACTTTTTGAAAGTCCTACCAAATGGACCTCAAAGAATAGAACGATATAAGAGCAATAGAGTTGGCAATCATCTTGTCACGATGTCGATTTCTAGCGTGTGAGTCTGTACAGCTTAAAGGAAGGTCATTTCTTAGCAACTCGTGTAATGTTATCGTGTGACAGCCATTCGTCACAAGGGGTTTTGTCTAATACCCAGTTGTACCAACTTATCCATTGTGTTTTCTTGACAGGAAAAATTATTTCACAAGAGAAGAAAAGAAAAAATTATTAGTTTCTTGCAAACAATTATGTTAGTTGATTAGAAAATTTTAAATATTTCTCCTCAGGGCCACCGAGATGAGTACTCGGTCGTAAACTTTGGGTCCCCATGGGATTAGTCGAAGTGCGCACAAACTGGCCGAAACATCCACGGTTATTAAAAAAAAAAGTTAAATATTTCTTTAATCCTGTCTCGCACTCAAACCACCATTCTAAAATATGTAGATTTTCTAGTAAACAACCAAGCATAGAAATTATTAGAGTATAATCAAGAGACTCCTTATTTTTCTTTTCCCAAAATATGTAGCAGTAACAGAAGTAGTAAAAGAGGCATTGTGCCTCAAAGATATGTTACATGAACGTAATTTTTTACAAAAGATTCCAGTGGTCTGTCGGCAATTCAATCGTGCAAGAATCGGTCTTCCATGATAGGACGAAGCACATTGATGTTAGACTTCATTTTATCATAAATGTTATATGACAAGGTGGAGATGTGTGAAGTCTGATCCAACACGAAACAATCCGAGTCCAGGCCAAAGAACACAATGCCCAACATTGAACCATATCCACTTCCTTATAGCTTATGATGACACCCTCGGACTCATCTATTGTTTGGACAGCATATACCTGCAAGAACTATTCGTGTCCCATCAATCGTATGCATACTCAGAAAGGTTTTTACAATTGCAACGACTGTTTTGACCTTGCTGGACGAGAGAAAACCCGATGGACCGGCAATGATGGGGGCCTCGACTTCTCCATAGATGAAGTACTTGCAGTAAAGAAGCCTGGCACAATAAGAACTAGGCTTGACATCGGAAGTGGCGTGGCTACATTTGCTGTCAAAATGAGAAAAAGAAACATAACAATCCTCACAACTTCAACGAATTCAATAATTTCGTTGCATCAAGAGGGGTTGTACCTTTGAACGATTATAAAGAGTAAATCGCCCGAAACAATTAGAGGAGAAAAATAAGGAAAATCTTCTCTAATATCTTCAATCCTTCAAGTTGCTTCAAAATGCCACCCAAGCCGGGTGTCTCCTGAAGCATTACAAACAAGGTAAAATTCAATAGAAATTCGCCCAAATCGACTAACAACCATATGAAATTCAGTGCTCAGTAAGTGTTATATTTACACTTGTCATATATAAAAAATGTCCAGAATATCTAAGCAAAAACTACCAACAACACGACCATGAGCAAAGTAAATTCACCTCCAAAAGACGTTGGAAGAATGTGAGTAGGTTTGGCTAAGCTTGAGGATGAGCAGGAACTTTCGAGTAAAAGATTTAAGTATTTTAAAAGCAATTATTGCCTTTCGACACAATCTTTTTCAATGATTAGAAGGAAAATATGCACATTTCTACTGATTGAATCTGGAACATGTATACACACAGATTTTATCCTGTTTGAAGTAACTATCTAATTCCTAAGTTGTACACAATTAAAACAGAGAATGAGGAACTGGAGCCTATCAGCACTTGTTACATCGGGCTACCACCAGCTTTCCTCGTCCTGTTTGTTCCTCATAATGTCTGTAGAGAATAATGTTTTTTGAAAAAATCACCAATCCACAAGCATTGTGCAAAAGCAAATAATAATCTTTTTAAGTAAATATGTTCAAGAAGGTACAGGGGCATCTGTGATAGGATCCCCTGCTGCTGTGGATTATGAATGTAAGAAGAACACGGATGGATACTGATTATTGTATTGAAATGAAACTCGAATTGAAATGAACTGAACAATTCCAAGGCATTCGAGAGGCCTGGATTCTCTCCTACTTGGCTCAGCCAACTACTCAATATTTTGCATGCCTCAAATGAAACACTGCCCACCTATTTATAGGCAACAGCCTAGACAAGTTATTATATTAATCCCCACGATACCCTTGCATAATTGACATTGGAACAAATTAGTAATTTGGGGTTCTATCAATCTGCTCTACAATATTAGAACATCAAACCTTGATTCAAGAAATATAGGACATGACCAACTCCTAAATTGCTCCATAAGAAACTGCTTCCAATTCTCGAAACTTCAGCTTCAGCTCTTCCTTTCATAGTTTTCTATTTTCTCTCCTCTGTTTCGTCTCCAACCGCTGCACTTTTCTTCCTTCCATTAGCCATTTTCAAGCAAATTCATAATGAACAATTTGGAGAAATTTATTTTCTTATTCCCGTTAAAAGGAAATAAAGAAAATCGCATGGAAAATTATTATAATATTCAGAGTGAAGAATGTAACCTCATTAAGCCTCAATAAGACCGTAGTCGAATGCGAACTTGAAGGCCGTCGTTTCCCATACACGATTGTTCCTCTTGCATTTGCTTTACTGAAGCTACAAGTAAATCGGCACAATAATGCAACTCGATCAATTGAAGCGTTGGTATTTCTCCAATACTGCAAGGCATCTCCTTCAAATTGTTGCAGTACCTAATGATTAGGCACCGAAGACTCGGGAAGTGGATACTATCGGCTCTCCAGTGCTCCAGATTCAGATCTTCAAGCAGTAAATGCTTCAGCTTAAGAAACTCCCCTTCAGCTGGTCCCCATTCTCGGCCTTCAAAGGCATAATGCTCTAGTTTGAGCACCTCGAGATTGGGCAACGAACCAACAATCTCCATATCTTTCCAAGGAAGACACAAACCGCTTAGAGTTAACTTTTTTATCGAAGGAGGGAAAGCGAGATGATGCAGTAAACAAGGACTTGGTAAACGCAAACGGCATTTTAATGCTTCAAGTTTGTGTAGACGGACAAGATTACTGAGACAATAGTATTGCCAATCAGGTTGCTCTGAAGCATAACTAATTCCCAATTTCTTCAAATTCGGAATTCTTTTAAGGACCTCATTGGAACATCTGAAATTTCGTACTAGGGACAATGTTTGTAGGTTTTCCAGAACAATAACAGCATTTTCCCCCTCAAGAGGATCGGATAGAAAGAGTGCTTCCACCTGGACATGTCTTAGTTGTGGCATATTCCATATTGCCACTTCTATTGGTGGGTGAAATGAATATAGAATTAAGGTTTGTAAATTTGGAAGCATGGACGATGCTGATATAGAAAACCACTTATAGTCACAGTCGCAGGCGAGGTAATGCAAGTTATAAAATAGTGATTCATTCAGTTCACCTTGAATACCAATGCCAAGTTTTCGCATCATGTCCAATACTCTAAGGGGCCGAGGATTTAGATGTCGTACTGAATGATTAAAATGCCAATCAAAACTAAAAAGGGAGCTCACTCAGTCACTCGTAAAGAACATAGTTTTTGGTCATCACAAGGAAAAATATTTGTTGTATTCGGATGAACACTTAGGCGGCTTAGACTAGTGCCTACTGGAATATCGTGGAGACTCTTATCGGTGATACCCAAAAACATCTCCTTCTTAGCTTCTCTGGTGCAAAAATCCCTTACTATATCATGGATTTTGCATGTTTTAATTTTGCCTATAGAGCTCTGTTCACCAACCAAAATGAGACTTCTGTCAACAAGATCCATCAAGTATCCATATGCTACATCTTCCAAGCTTCTAGATCCCACTTGATTTAAGAATCCTTCAGCAACCCATAACTTGACAAGTTTGGAGACAGAGATATCAAAATCTTCTGGAAAAATTCCGGTGTAGAGGAAGCAGTCTTTCAGATGATGAGGTAAATGATTATAACTTAAAGATATTGTTTTTGAGCATTGCTCATCATTTGAGATTATTACAGAACTTAAATTTTCAGCTACATTTCTCCAGTAATGTAGAGTTTTTGTGGCCTTCGAGAGGAGGCCCCCAATCACAACAATTGCGAGTGGAAGTCCTCCACAATTTTGGGCTATCTTCTTTCCAATTTCCCCTAATTCAAGAGGGCAAGAATATTCTCCGAACACCTTTTGACAAAACAATTTCCAACTTCCTTCCTCATTTAGAAAATGCATTTCATGAAGAGGACACGAGTTGGCATAAACACCCACATTCTTGAGTCTAGTAGTCAGCAGGATTCGACTTGCATTCTTGTCATTTGGGAATAGTTGTCTCAAATCATCCCAAACCTTTGTATTCCATACGTCATCCATAACAATCAAATATCTCCTGCCCTTTAGACTCTTGTACAAACGCTCCGCTAATTGTTCAGTGGTCTGTCTTCCAATCTCCTGAGTGAGCTTCGCCATGGAATCTAGAAGGCCGATTATGATTTGTCGCACTTCATACGATTGAGATATCGTTACCCAAGCACGAGTATGAAAATGAAACAAAATAAATGAATCGTTGTAAACTTCTCTAGCAATAGTAGTCTTACCAATTCCACCCATCCCGACAACACAAACAGTTTCAAGTGCCGATGATTCTCTAACTAGCCGAGTCTTGATCTCCATGAAATCATCTTCAAGACTCACCATAGCGATCTTGCAACTGGAGGCAGCAGGTCTTGATGAATCAGAAGCAGGCGTACATTCTTGTACTTCAATTTCCTCCTCAATCTTCATCACCCGTTGCTTTATGAAATCAATTTCTCGTTTTAATTTCTTCAAGCAGTGAGATGAGAATGTCAAGTTGTAATCCGACGTTGTAGATTTTGAAAGACCATTACCCCACAAGGGAGATGTTCCACTAAGTTGATCCCTAATGCGGGATTCAATGAGATCTTTTCCCTTTTTCGATGCAATTATGATTTGGCTCTCAAAAGATTTTAGTTTTTTGCTACTTTTTGTTGAAGAATTTTCAAGAATGTCTTGGAACAAACTAATCTCTTTGAGAAGATATTCAACTCGTTGTCTATTTGGAAGAATGACATGTTGATGCTGTAGCATCTGCTCAAGAATCCGAGTCAGAGAAGTAACTGCAGCAAAAGCCATGTCTGATCTCTCCCTCACACTCAAAGATAGTAGTTAAACAACAAAAAGAAATTAAAGCAATTTACAAATCCCAAATACACATTCCATCCGGACTGTCATTGTTGTGGTGCCCCAAATTTCCAAAGGTGTGCTAAGTTTTCAAAGATATTTGTGGTGGGTCGTGCTCATATGTCCAAAGATGATTAAGATGGTCAATCATTCCCATTTTTCATAATGACGCTTTTTATTTTTATAACTTTTTTTTTCTTGAATTAGAGGGACTGTCTCTTCATGAATTTAACATTTCATTTGGACAGAAAACTATCTCAAAAGATGTGATACTAAAATGAAAATTTGAAGACAAAAAATCTGATTATCAAACCTATTCGTAGCCGTCATCTTTGGCTCATCACTCAAACGCGTTTAACGGTTTTTCAATCCGAAAGATGCGTTGTATAGTTGGATATGAATACTTCAAAATGGCATCAAGAATCCACCATGGCCTATGATAAACATAGCCGTAAAATAAGCTGAAAGAGATATGCCAAAATAGGAATTAAAAGGAAAAAACCAGATTATAAAATCAATTTATAGCTATCAACTTTGGCTCATTATCTTGAACTTGCCATTTAACTGATTTCAATCATAAAAAGAAGTGTTACAAACACTTAGTGATGCCACAAACCTATCCCGGCAAGTGAAAAACAGAGCCTGAAATCTTGTGATTGAAACAAGGTTGTGGCCACTCAAGAATAAATAAAAAAAAACATTAATAATAGAAATCAAAAGGACTTTCATCATTACCTGAAAATAGCAGGCAGCAATTTACTTTGGTAATTTCTTTCCTTCCACAGAGCTTGTTAGGACAAAACTCTCAAATAGGACGGAATGGGACCCGAATAGAACCGAACCGAATCGAGCGATTCTTCTTAAGTTAAATATCTGAACCGGTATCTGAATCTAGAACGTGGTTTGATTCGATTCTAAAACCGAAGAACCGAATCTCCCAAATTTTTTTAGTTGTTTTTATAGTAAACAAGGCAAATTACTTTAATTTTTTCCTGTTTCATCTACAGTTAAGCTCAAAAGTATCATTTTCTTGTTTCATTTACCAACTAGTTAATTGAGCCACTAATATTATTTTCTTGTTCTCCGTCTAAACCCAACTTTGCAATTCAAATTTCAAAGAATCAAAATTGAGTGACCTATGTTTTTTTCAATCATTCCGCCTTTTCTTAAATAATTTAATTTTAATTTTTTTTTTTATTTTTTTTTTTTTTTTTTTTGAATTAGAGGGACTGTCTCTTCATGAATTTAAAAATTTATTTGAACGGAAACTGTCAATAAGAACGACAGGTTGAAGGCAGAAAGACAGAGATAAAAAGATTGAAGACAAAAGCGTTCACCCTAGTTGAATTTCCAAAGATGCATGCAGATAAAAGCGTGCAATTGCCAAAGATGCATGCAAACAAAATCTTAAATTATATATCTATTAAGATTAGCCAAACATGCCCAAATCAAGTTTTCTCAAATTAGCCTATTTGAATTTTACATTTTCTCATTTATTTTGTTCGATCATCCTTCATTAGTTCATTGGCAGGACACAGCAAATGCTTTTTCAATACCGAAAACCCACTTCGAAACATTACCAAAAACTTACTCAACGAGTGAAGAATGTAGCTCAAAAGATGTGATACTAAAACGAAAATTTGAAGACAAAAATCTGATTATTAAACCTATTCGTAGCCGCCATCTTTGGCTCATCACTCAGACGCGTTTAACGGTTTTTCTATCCGAAAGATGCGTTGTATAGTTCGATATGAATACTTCAAAATGGCATCAAGAATCCACCATGGCCTATGATAAACATAGCCGTAAAATAAGCTGAAAGAGATATGCCAAAATAGGAAATAAAAGGAAAAAACCAGATTATAAAATCAATTTATAGCTATCAACTTTGGTTCATTATCTTGAACTTGCCATTTAACTGATTTCAATTCAAAAGAAATGTTACAAATTTCGCCATGAACACTAGGTGTTGGTGATGCCAAAAACCTATCCTGGCAAGTGGAAAAAGGAGCCTGAAATCTTGTGATTGAAACAAGGTTGTGGCCACTCAAGAATTAAAAAAAAAAACATCCTGTCCAATGAATAATAGAAATCAAAAGGACTTTCATCATTACCTGAAAATAGCAGTCAGCAATTTACTTTGGTTTTTTCTTTCCTTCCACAGAGCT